CGTCTGTCCACTTCACGCTTCGACCTTCGCGCGCGGGGCGCACGCTATGCAGAATGCGCAAACGGCGGATGCGATATAATCGCACCTGCATGCGTGAGCATCCACGAACAAGCTGTAGCCGGTAGACACTCACCTTGTCCCAGGGAAAAAAATACACGGGAGCGACGAGCGATTTCGCTCTAGTATTAGTAGTAAGCACTGTAATCGATCTGGTAAGAACAATAACGGGAGCGATCGCCCGAAAGGAAATCGCTCCCGTGGCCTGATAAATTGAAATGTACACAAGTACGTACGTACAGCGAGCGCTATACACCGTGCATGGAGCAGCGCCTTAAGCTGGGTTTACACTGACGATTATATGCAGTCAAGTTGGCGTTTTTCTTCTTTCTACCGACCTCTTTATTCATATATTCAAAGCTTACGTTATCGACCGCGAGGCGGCAAACGTTTCGACATTTGACTCGTAGCGTGTGCGCGGGGAGACGCGGATACACATTTTTGCATGTATTACATGCCGCCAGCATGGCGCCTAAAGCAAAAACGTGCTCTCCTCCTAGGGTGGAGGGAAACACCCCTGATTGCTGTTGTCTGATTGGCCACTTGGCAAAAAAACGTCCAACTCGCCTGTTCCGAGTTGGGGAAATTAGAACATGTTCTAATCTTCCGACTCGCTGCTATCGATCGGTTGGACGTGCGACTTTTACATTTACACTGGAGATTGTCAGTTGCCAAACTGCTAAGTTCGTACAATTCGGCAACTCAAAATCGTCAGTGTAAACCCAGCTTATGTATTCGCTGCAGCTGGCGCTGGCTAGATCAACCCGCTGACGCATAATAAAATACAATTGATAATAAAAGTTATACAACAGAGTGTAGAACTAGAAACTGTTGACACTTTCATTCATAAAAATTTTAATTTAACTTGACAATAATACCAGCTGAATCCAGCTCTTGCCTTGTATTAATCTGCAATGATGTGGTTACAATTGCATTCATACATTGTCTGTTGAAACTATGAATGATAGTCAATGATAAACTATGCTGACAGATGCGATGTGATGTCACAGACTCACAGGCACACATCTCTGTGAGACTGTGACAAATTAACCGTGTACTTTCTTATTTTGAGACTGAAAAATAAACAACAACTGCACAGTGGTATTTTATTTGCATCCAAACGAAAAGATAATGTGGTTCATTCTGTATGTTTATTACAGAGTAACAAAACAATAAGCAACCTAGAAGTAGTGACTGGTGAACCATGTGTACATGTAGAGAAAGAAGAGTGAGAAGGGGAGTGGTGGACAGAATGGTAGTATCATGTATGATAAAACTTAGAAGATTCTGACCTCTCCCCATCCTTTGAATCCATTCGCATTCACAATGCCGCCTCCGAGGCTCCGACACCGTAACTCATGATCCAAAAAAATGTGATTAGTGATATGTAGTAATGTAAATATAATTTATTATAGGTACATGCATGTATTAACAGAAAATTTGACACACTCATGGAATTAATAATACATACAATTTACATTGATGTAATATAAAATAAAATAAGAGTACATTATATTACGTATTTTTCGAAAATTTGAAACTGAAAAATGGCTCTGTAATTTATTGATTCAGCGTCAAAAAAATGCTGCTCTGGGAAAAAAAAAGTATTTTTTACGCTTGCCATGTTCTTATGATCCGTCAAAAAAGGCTAGACCTCTCTATCACTCACTCTCATCTACCAGTCACATACTGAACGACCTGTCCTCAAGAATCCTGCAACCTGATTATGGCCTATCGCAAGAATAAGTCTGCCAAATTTCACGGTTTTTTGCTGTATAGCCAAATATAATGAGTTTAATTTATAATAATATCGTATAATATAATTCTGTTGTATATATACTGACTATGTATACCTAATAATATATATATATATATATATATAACTATACTATACTATATATATTTTATATACTGTGTGGTTGTGCTTCATTGTGTTTGCATGTGTCCATCCACTTTCTCAGTGAGTTTGCCTCTCTCTACCACCCATCCTGCTGTATTTAGTGCGTGAGGAGCGTTGTCTAGCTGTGAGCAGTGAATACTGCAGGAGCCATTATGCAGCGCAAGCGCCGAGCAAGAGCAAGCCCAGCAAGAAGGAGGAGGAGCAACGGTAACGTTTATCACCTCGATCACCGCAGCAAGGGTACAATATCTGGTGTGAACATTGAATCATCTGTATGTGCGATGTTGGGAGGGGGTGCTGTCAGTTGATGAATGAGGTAGATTCGGAGCTAGAGTCTCTGATCACCTGTTGAGAAAGTACCATTTTCTGATGACAAGTGGAAAACTAGGATGGATGTTTGTGGTCTGGGCCAGTTGAGAGAAGGGAAAGCTAGATGTTGTAGCCGCCAAGGCTTCGAGACAACTTGGTCTTCCACGTTTTAGATTGCGGCCTCTGATAACACCATTGGTTGTATCAGTAGGCCAATATTTCTGCTTAGTTATCACACCATTTGTAAATGCAAATCAAAGCTTCAAATTGCACCAAATTGAAGCCATATATATATTCATTTATGATGCTAGTGGGAAAATGTTTGCATAGTGCTCCGCCAAGCTGCCCTGGCGCTTCTGAGAAAACACTCAAGAGTCAAAGTACAAACTTTATTGCCTTTAAAAAGTTCTTGCATACACTGTCACTTGAATACAGTGAGTTGAAGCATTGACTACTACAACACAAAAGATGGTCTGCACACGTGCCACACTCTCAAAGAATTCGCATCCATATCCGTTTAATGTCTGATATAGGTCCATGTAAAAGTCAGGTGGTAGGATTGTCCTTAAGAGATCCAGGGTTCTCCCCAGGATGAAATTGAAACAGGGGGGAGGGAGGGGCGAGGGGGAAGGGAGGCGGAAAAACTAGGGCGGTCCGGGGGCGTGTTTTTTTACCCGGTACCACTAATTAATCGTAAAAATCGCCACCAAACAATGCATAGACAGTCGTATTTGGGTTTCTTGTATTCTATATAAGATAGCCCGAGTCTTGTGTACAGTTAGTGTTCGGGTCGGTACAACAGCGTTAACTGTTTGTACTTGTGCTATAGGTCTGAGGCATGCATGCGCCGCAACGGTTACACGTGCGCGGTGGTCCTGGTGCGAATAGAATTCTTGACGATTTTGAAAATTTTTCTGCCGCTGTCAAACTTCTTATTGTGGTGGAATTTAATCGGGACCGCAGCGCGGTAATTTAAAGGGGGCTGCAAGCAATTGAAACAGGGGCGGCAGTTTTCCCCAAACGGGGCGCGCCGCGTGGGCGGCCCAGTTGCGCAAAGTAGGGCGAACCCTTGAGATCGTAATGAAGGCGTTATGTATTTTTAGCTCACCATTGACATCGTCAAGCTGAGCTATTGCCATGGGTGTCTGTCCGTTCGTCCTGTCCGTTAGTTTAATGATAATTATTAAGTCATCGATAACTCAGGAACCGGATTGACCCACATGTTTGAAATTGGGACCATAGTGTTGTAGCTATGCTCCCATATTAAACGTCCTATTGAAGCAACGCCAGTCGACGTACTTTCGAGCCATCGCAATTCTTTTTGGCCAGAAATGGGAATTGTCCCATTAACGTCAGTTCAGGTTCGAACGGATTTTGCTTCAATGTCTCGTATGTGAATGAATAAGCGGTAAGGTTTTAATATTTAAAAAAGAAGTTATGCAAACTTAGTAGGGTTGCAATTATAATAGCGATATTATATAGACAAAAAACAGTCTGCTGGTGCTCACACTCACTGGTTCGTTTTTAACAAGATTTAATCCTTTAATGCAAAATGTGCCTAATTTCCTCTCCAGCCCTGCCGATAAAACGGTTCTATATTTAGAACGTAAAGTTTTACAAAAACATGTCGGCAACGCAGCATAACCTATTTATTATCAAACTGCCATCGCTACAAAGCGGTAGTATAGCGCCATCTACTGCCTCACAAAATTGTGCATTCATTTTGGTTTATAAATTACTTATTGCGATATACAGGAAGGCGATCGTTTCTTATATATGTAGTTTGATAGTTGCTCAATTAAAACTGACTTCTTCTTACTCACTCATTTGTGTCCTTTTTTGTGGTGAGCTACAGTGTCATTGACACTTTCATTGTTTGCAGTCTGGGGATATGGCTTCCTGTTCGTCACCCTCATAAGCCTGTGCTCCACAACAGGAGTGCTCCTGCTGCCAATCATGGCCAAAGAACTGTACAAAAAGATTCTGATCTTCTTCATAAGCCTCGGAGTTGGAACGTTGTGTGCTAGTGCCATCTTCCACCTTCTACCGCAGGTAATCTAACAAATCAACACTTCATGCTAACCTGTTGATGTTGGCTTTACATAGCTAGGTGTTGTGTCTAATGGGGTAGGGAATGACCAGGCAAAGAAATATGTCATCAGCAGGATTTAGTAGAATAAGTTTCATATTTGTAATGTAATATGATGTGAAAAAGGTTTGATTAAACTTGAACTGCGTGTCTGTAACGTGTTGACGTTTGACAGGCCTTTGAACTGGGAGCTGACGGTAACCATGACTACCTGTGGAAGGCCGCCACGGGAATGCTGGGAATCTACATCTTCTTTCTGGTCGATAAAGTGCTCAAGGTGGCCTTCTATAAGAAAGACGTGAGTTTGTTGATAGGAGGAAGAGAGGGGAGGAAGACGAACAACTGAGAATAGCTTGCTACGTCAAGTGCATAGTATTTTGCTTTCTCGATAGAATCGTAGAACAGAAGAGGCAAGGTAGCGGAATAACAATTCAAACATTTCTCAGGGATCATGGGGAAAATAAGAAGGTCAAATTCGAGTTGAATCATTGCCGATGTAACGATATATATGCAGTTGTTAGAAATAACTCGTTCTGTATCTGACACGGCTGACTATAAGCTGCTACATCTACGTAGAGATCCGTCGAGAGCACTGCTGTCCATAAAGCTGAGACGATGGATGTCATCATCCCTGACATGCCGTTCGACGAGCACGACAACGGTTGCCATGCCGACTCGAGCAGCAGCAAATTCCTACAGTTTCCCCCCACCGTCGAGGTTGCCGGGGGCGACACGAGCATCAAGGAGATCTACCACGGCAACGCGGGCGTGCGTAACGGACGGGTGCGGCACAACACCGTTACCAGCATGGAGCAGGAAGAGGTGAGTCATCGCTGTTCCCTCGCGTGCGATGAGAGTAGTCACCTGGTGCTTAGCGTTCAGGGGCCGCGTTGTCAGAATCAGAATTAATCTTAACTTTAGTCTTAACATAAAATTTTTCTCGTGGACTGCACTTCTGTATGGTGCGTATGAGAAACTCCTAACTTTAGGGTGTTTCTGTCAATGGTCTACGAGTAAAAGTTAATGTCAAGACTAATGTTAAGTCTAATTTTGTATCTGACAACGGACCCCGGATCGTGTGCAGGGGGTGCATTGTCGAAAACGATGAAGTAACATTACTCAAGACTTCGCCTGCAAAAGTTATGACTTCTTAGGCTATCTATGTGATAACTATTCGAAACTTGTTTGCACATTTTACGTGCAAAGGTTACGAAATCCTGAAGAGAAGAATTAGAGAAGAAATATAGAATGACGATGTCATACGCCGCACTGTAACGCGTCTGTCCCGTGTTTCCGTGACAGCTGGAGCGAGCCGTCCCACACGATGCGTTGGAGCGCACGGGACACGACCACAGCCACTTTGCGAAGGGAGACAGCGTCATCGCGACGGTGGCATGGATGATCATATTTGGCGATGGCTTGCATAACTTCGTCGACGGTCTGTCGATCAGGTGCCGCGTTCCAGAATCACACTGACGGGCATCAGCATCTCAGTTGCTGTCTTCTGCGAAGAGTGTCCGCATGAGCTCGGTATGTGTGTGCGTGCGTGGCAGAAAGCAGAAAGGTTCGATATGATATGACTACTAGGCACTTTAATTTAATTAATTTTCTTTTTTTAGGGTAGGGTTAGGGTTAGGGTATAGTAGTCATATCCTAAGTGCCTAGTAGTCATATCATATCGCACCTATCTGCCGGGTGCGCGTGCGTGCGTATATGTGCGCGTGCGCGTGCGTGGTTCATGTAGTCCAACCTGTATATGTAAAGGTGTAGGGGTGTGGCTACCTATTAACGAAATGAATCACCCACACTGAACAACGAACGATCTCGAGCTGTCGGCTATGTGTTTCAGGAGACTTTGCGATTCTTCTAAACTCCGGCATGAAGCTGAAGCAGGCAGTGATGTATAACTTCCTATCCGCATGTACCTGCTACTTGGGCTTGCCATCGTATTTTGCTGGGTGATCTACCGGGAGCAACTGTCTACATATTTGGCTTCGCTGGCGGAATGTTTCTCTACATCTCTCTAGCTGCGATGGTGAGTATTTTTGCATTCCCCCAGTTGTTGTTGTGCTTGTTGGTTGTTGTTTTCGGTTTCTTTATTTTATACTGGACTCAAGGGTTTTAAATCCACATCAGTGGAAACCCACTCCAGGAATCTGGCTTCGGTCGGCAGTAGCAAGTATAAATGCTTCCCGCACCACTTCTCTGAACCACTCCAGAGGAATAGATTAAATTGTTTAGGGCAAGGCCAGAGTTGCTTTGTAACAGTACGACGCGTCACCGTTAGATTGTTACGCTGGGAAGTCTCTAATCTGTTGGTTTCCGTTGCAAGATGCCAGAGATGGCAGAACTGTTGGATAAGGCGTTGGCGGAAGGAAAGGCATGCGGGTGCTGTGCTGCTACAGAACCTTGGCCCTCCTCATTGGAGTAGTCGCTCATGTTTGTGCTGGCAAATGTTCCAGCGCGATATCCAGTTTGTTGTAGAGTGGCGCCTGCAGTCACGGCTACGGCCCGTTATCACATTCCTGGAGGTGGGTCGAAATAAACAAAAACTGCTATTTTTTGTAGAGTTTTAGTTTTTCGGGGTAAACTGATAAACGCTGGCGTAAAATTAATGCGTAGCTGCAGATTCATGTGCTTCTTGGTAAGGTTGATGGTTCATGGCATCACATGGAGTGTATAGGAGCTTAAAATGTTTTCATTTCAAAACTTTCTATTGGAAAAGAACATGGTTACTTTGCCCTTTTCCGGCAGCAGAACTGTTGTACCAGAAAAGTGAAAATGAGTTAATTTCGGCCCTCCTGTACCTAGCTTGACTATATCTGTGCACACACATGTTGTTGCTCCATATTGTTGCATTCGCCATCTATACAATCCGACCAAATGCTGACAAAACTAGCATTTACAATACTGATCTCACGCATCATGGACTAATTGTCGTTATACTGCTTGGCTGTCGGTGGAACATAGAATGTAGTAGATAGTATCATAGTATGAGAGTTTCTCATTGCCATCACCATCAGAGGGCAGCACAGTCAACGTCGTCATTCAAACCAAATTTTTAGTTATTTCTTGCCACTGTATGTATATTTGTTTGTATTAAGGAATGCTATCTAAAATAGAAAATCATGTCGAAAGCTATAGAGGTGTCGTTTATGCTGAGCTTGTTTGTATGGGGTTCCTAAGTGGAATGACAATGCTCATTTCTCTATTTGTCTGGCATGGATAAGTTGGGTGTCAATAATGTAAGGTTGATCATGATTTTCATAATCTTTGTGCAAGTCACAATTAAGAAAATAATATAATCATATATAAACAATTGTTGCTGGTCACTTTTTAGCAGGGCTGGCTGGAATTGTTATGGATTTTACTATAGTCTATATAGTAGAATTTAAAAGTGTACTGACACGAATTACGTGAAATACTTAGTAAAAGGAGTTGATATGCTAGCGTGAACACAATCAACGTTACCGTTTGTTGTCCTATATGTATTTGTATTACAAGTAACACTTTTACTTTTATTCCCAACCTTGCAGTAATATTACATCTTTACTATGTGTTATAGCATCGTATATTTAATAACCTAACTAGTAGTATTATGTTTATCCCTCGTGTGTTATTAAACTCTGCATATTGTTTCTGTTATCAATGGTTAATAATCGTGAAAGTGCATTATTTTTATGTAGCCTTTTAATTAATTATTTTTAATGTTTGATATGGCGTATAGGAACATCACTGCGTATTACGCACATACGTTACCCTGTCACAAGTTACTGGAATCACATTTCTCAACACTGTTGTGCCGTTTACACAGAAATGAGATCTAGATTACAAGAGCTTGTATAGGTGTTAAAAACAAAACAAAAATTCGAGCAGGGATTTAATCTATGGAGCGACGAGTAGGTATGGATTATTGCAGCAAGTCTTGCATGTGGGTAAATTCAAATGACGCCGCTTGCATACCGGGGGGAAAGAGAAACGTGTGAGACAAGCTACAAGTAGACATTTGTTTTGTTATTTTCTTTGTCAGATTTACGTGCCTCTAGTCGTGCACGTGAAATATGAATGTACTCGTATATGAAAGTTTTATTAATGTTGATGCCATTCCTTTGATATATGATAGGTACATGTATATACATATATATATATATATATATATATATATATATATATATATATGTGTGTGTGTGTGTGTGTGTGTGTGTGTTGTGTGAGTGTGCGTGTGCGTGTGCGTGTGCGTGTGCGTGTCGTGCGTGTGGCGTCGTGCGTGTGCGTGTGCAGTGTGCGTGTGCGTCGTCCGCGTGTCGATGTGCGTGTGCGTTGGCCGTTGCGTGTTGCGTGTGCGTGTGCGTGTGCCGCTGTCGTGTGCGTGTGCGCGTGGCTGTGCGTGTGCGTGTGCGGTGCGCGTGTGCGTGTGCGTGTGCGTGTGCGTGTGCGTGTGCTGTGCCGCTGTGCAGGGTGTGCCGGTCGCCGTGTGCGTGTGCGTGTTGCGTGTGTGCCGTCGCGTGTCGGTGTGCGCTGGTAGCGTGTGCGTGTGCGTGTCGTGGCGTGTGCGTGCTGCGTGTCGTGTGCGTGTGCGTGTGCGTGTGCGTGTGCGTGTGCTGTGCGTGCGTGTGCGTGTGCGTGTTGCGTGTGCGTGGCGGTGCTGTGCGTGTGGCGTGTGCGTGTGGTGCGTGTGCGTGTGCGTGTGCGTGTGCTGTGCGTTGCGTGTGCGTTGGCGTGCTTGTGCGTGGCGTCAGTGCGTGGCGTGTGCGTGTGCGTCGTGCGTGTGCGTGTGCCGTTGTGCGTGTGCTTCTGTGCGCGTGCCGCGTGCTGTGTGCGTGTGCGTGTGCGGTGTGTGTGCGTGTGCGTGTCGCGTGTGGTGTGCGTGTGCGTGTGCTGTGCGTGTGCCGTGTGCGGCGTGTGCCGATGTGCGTGTGCGTGTGCGCTGTGCGTAGTGCGGTGGTGTACGTGTTGTGTGGTGTGTGTTGTGCTGTGCGTGTGTGCGTGCCTGCGTGGCGTGCGCTGCGTGCGTGCGGCTGTGCGTGCGTGCGTGCGTGCCGTGCGCGTAGCGTGGCGTGCGTGTGTGTGTGGTGTATCCTTGCCTCTACACTGAGCGTTCATCAATGGACCGATGGCTCGTGTCGGTTTTAAGGGTGTTTTAGATATCGGATTGAGCAGATGTGAGATGTGAGATGTGAGATGTGAAGACTGTGAGATGTGAGATGTGAGATGTGAGATTGACGATGTGAGCTATGAGATGTGAGATCTGATGAAATGTGAGATTGTAGATGTGAGATGTAAATAATGAGTATTATCGTAAATTTTGTGATAGAAATGCCATCTTGGAAACACTCAGGGCTAAGCGTGTCTGTGTATAAGTTGATATATTAGTATGCATGTGGACAGTACTAGGTTGTTGCTATCAGGTTAAAGGGATACTAGACTGCTAGGATTTTACTGCATACAAACTGTACTTAACTGTGAACAAAATCGTCTATACGCCACACGTACTTTGTTACCAGATACCTAATTTAATTGTTATTAATTAATTATACATCAAACGCATACGAAATTTTAACGAGCCCATTGACAGCACCGCGCGAACCGTGCTGCCACCCTGAAAAAGTTGCGCATTTGCCCAATATATTTTTGCCACGTTACAGACCGCGGGCTAATCACAAGGCTGCAATTTTTTTTTTTTTTTTTTTTTTTTTTTTTTTTATATTTTTTTTTTTTTTAATATTATATTCTTAAAATGCTTATTTAACCGAACAATCGTCATTTTAGGGGCAATATTTTCATCCATAATAGATACACTGAAACTATATGTCGTTTATACAGATATTACCAATCCTTTGCTTTTAAATGCAATCAATCAAGAGACCACCTCGTCTGTAGCCCTTGGCTGTAAAAGTCTGTTTTGCGCAACCTTATATCAGATCGTGCGCTTTGAGTGGCGCCCCACCGTCGTTGTAATCAAGAACGTAGTCGTTAGTTTAAAACATTAAAAAAAAAATTTCTAATAGTGATTGAACCATGAAACTTTATGTAGCTTAATTATACACCTAAATTAGCTGACAATAACCCTACGAACCTAGGCTAAAGGAATCCTTATGCGTTATTTTTAGCTAATTTAGTTTATCAATTAAGCTAACAATAGAAAGTTTCCATGTTAACTCACCATTAAGTACTTTTTTTTTTAATGTTTTAAAACTACCGACTACAGTTGGAATTACAATCGACGGGGGCGCCACTCAAAGCCACGATCTGAATAGTTGCGCAAAAACCACATCCACCAAGGCTACAAGACCGAGGTGTTCTTATTTTATTCATTTAAAAAGCAAAAGGTTTGTAATACTTATAAACGACATATAGTTTTGCAGTTATAATATGGATAAATTTGCCCTAAAATGAATATCGTTCGGTTAAAATAGCATTTAGGTAATAAATATAATGCACTTTTGTGATTAGCCCTCGGTCTGTAACGTGCAAATAAATTGTTCAAATACGCAATAATTTTTCGGGGTGGCACAACGGTCGCGGGTGTCATGGCGCCGTTCCAAATTTCGTAGCGCTTATGATCGTGTAATTAATTATAACAATTAACATTTGGTATCTGCGGCAACAAATACGTGTGGGTATAGACGATTTGTTATACAGTAAGTACAGTTGTATGCAGTAACATCCTAGAGGCTACTGTCCCTTTAAGAACCCCGTGCATGTTCGATGTGTGTATGCGTGTGTTTGCGCTGTGGTGGAAGCTGTTGACTGAGGATAATATTTTCAGGTGCACATATCAAGGAATTACTTTAATATGTGTCGCCATCCTGTCTACTCATGTATGGAGACCAGAGAGCTTATATATACATTCAGCTAAAGCTGCATCGTTACAGACATCCACTCTGCAACGGGTGTGGCGTAAAAAAACGTGTAAGACAGCTGTGGTCTATACCTGCAGGTTGTATCTGTGCAACACACCTGTAGCGGAGTGATGGAATTTACCTTGTATCGTACGCTCAACATTGAGCACGAATGATGCACAGAATTGAAAACGTGATGAACACGTGTTGAACACGTGATGAAAAGTGAACAGCGCACGTGTATCATATACATGCTCTGAATATATATATATACCTTCTTTATACGCTCTTGATGAAATTGAACTATTAAATGAAGTGAACAAATGAATAATATGTTCGAATTACTTAAATAAATGATTTGAATGGTGAAATGAACAATCAAATGAAATGAAGATTGAAATTGTGAATTGAATAATGAAATAAACAAATGACTTGCATGTTTGAATTGTCGAATCATATGATGAAATAATGAATGGACCACTAAATTCATCTTTGAATTGTGACCTAAATTCCCTCCCATAACGTGTTCTTCACACCCGGCTTTGCAAACAGTTGGTCGTGCGTGGCTACCGGGCATCCCACGTAGTGTATTAGGCATTTATACTGTGCCGATGCACTCACGATTAGTATCATTACGCGTCAACTCAACTTTGCAATGATAACTTGCCTGAGATATTGCTTTTATTCCGTGCTATTTGTATGTGTCTGGGCGGACCAGCCAACGGAAGTAGGGAAACAGCAACGAGATTATGATCATGCGTCGGACGCTGAACCATCCGTAAATAACACGTCACTCATTATCGTAGGCGCATCGGACGATCGCGAGAATCTCACTAGTGTAGTAGATATATTGAACAACGAGCGGACGAAGCACAATGAAAGCCACCTTTACGGTGCAATAGAAGTGCAATGCATCGCTGGCGACACGGGACAAGAATCCCAATGCAATCTCACTGCTAAGGTAATATTCCACGCAGACACTAAGACAATTGTCATCTGATAATAATTCTAGCGTCCGTGCACTTCGCGCTTCGACCTTCGCGCGCGGGGCGCGCGCTATATGCAGAATGCGCAAACGGCGGATGCGATAACATGATCATAGCAGGTCTGATGTCCATGACATTGTGCTGTCGTGGATACGGTAACTAACACATAACGTTTTCGCAACGTTAGGATTTGGTTGCACTATGGGTTGGTTTGATAAAAACGGTATTTTAACGTTTTAAAAACGTTACTTGTAAGGTTATATATAGGTTCTTAAAAAACGTTACCAAAAACGTGTTATCGACGTTTTATTAACGTGTTTGATCTCGTTGCGAAATGGTTCAATAAAAACGTTGGTAACGGAACGTTTTCATAACGTTCGCTAAACGTTTTTAACAAGGTTATGTGTAGGTTCTTAAAGAACGTTTTTTTGTAGGTTTTTGTAAATTTATATATAGAGAAAGAATTGCTCACATTGAATTAGGGTGTGAAACCATTTTTTTACTTTATATATGAATTTAAGGTATATATAATGACTATAAAATGCTAAAACTACTTGTCACAGATTGTCCTTGAAAAAAGCACATGTCCTTGATATGTCCTTGAAAAGTCATTGAAAACTTATTCACACTTCTGTGGGAACCATCTGGCAGATCCGATGTCCCTGTGCGGTCGTGGATACGTTATCGCGCCTGCATGCGTGAGCACCCACAAACAAGCTGTAGCCGGTAGACACTCACCATGTCCTTATGATCGTCAAAACAGCTAGACTTTTTCACTCACTCATTACAGTCACAATGACGCTGTCTCAAGAATCTGAACCTGATTATGCCTGATTGCAAAATAAATCTGCAAATTTCATCTTTTTCTGTTACCAAATATATGAGTTAATTTATATAATATCATATAATATATTTGTTTATAATTATATGTATATATGTGTATAATATTATATATATATATTATATATATATATGTGTGTGTGTCTTCATTTGTTGCAGTGTCTCACCTTCAGTGAGTTTGCCTCTCTCTACCACAGTTCCTCTATTAGTCGTGAGGAGCTGTTGTCTAGCTGTGAGCAGGTGATACTGCAGGAGCCATTATGCAGGCAAGCCGAGACAAGAGAGCAGCAGGAGGAGGAGGTGATGACGTACACCTCGTCCACCGCAGAGGGTAAATATGTTATGTCCACGCGGAAATATCTGTATGAACATTGATCGCTGTATGTGGATGTGGGAGGGGGTGCTGTCAGGTGATGAATGAGGTACGATTCGGACTAGAGTTCCTGGATCACCTGTTGAGAAAGTACCATTTTCTGATGACAAGTGGAAAAGCCTATAATTGCCATTGGTGGTGTATGTAACTAGGATGGATGTTTGGGGTCTGGGCAGTTGAGAGAGGGAAAGCAATGTTGTCGCCGCCAAGGCCTTGTGACAACTGTCTTCCCACGTTAGATACGGCCCTGATAACCTTGGTTGTACGTAGGCCAGATTTCTGTCTAATTATCACCCATTATCACACCCATTCTCAAACCAAATGACAGTTCAAATTCACAAATTGAAAGCAGATAGGCCCTTATTCATTTATGATGCTAGTGGGATTCTAGTACATTCAAATCTGTATATAAGAGTCACTCAATAGGAATGCTAAGACTGTGCTTTAGAGACAAGCGTTTATTCTATAGAGACAAGCGTTTATTCTTTAGAGACAAGCGTTTATTCTATAGAGACAAGCGTTTATTCTATAGAGACAAGCGTTTATTCTATAGAGATGGTTTCACTGTAGAACTGTTTCCAAAGAGAAATGCTAAATGTGTCCTTTATAGACACGTGTTCATTCTATAGAAGTGTCATATTACACAAGCTTGACTGCACAAAAATGCAAGAAGGAAAATGCTATCTGAAGGCTATGTACGTTTGGTCTTCCTCTACTAGGTGGCAGGCATTGCATGCCATCTGCTACGTAATCGTTGCTCGTCACGAATTAACCTGTATGATACAGGCGGTTCCGGTTCCGCTTCACTACACTTCACGTAGTGTAGTGTGTAGATAGTGAGTAGTAGTAGTAGTAGTAGTAGTAGTAGTAGTAGTAGTAGTAGTAGTAGTAGTAGTAGTAGTGGGTAGATAGTGTAGTGAAGCGAAACATACCGCCTGTATCATACAGGTTAGTCACGAATCGGTGGTGAGCCCGACTCGATCATGCTCACTATTTATAGAAACCTTAATCCCATACAATATAACTCATGTAGTTAGCGCACCGGTACAATGACGTCCGGTACATGCGTCTAAACAGAGGAATTGCTCCAACCTGTGATTGGAGGATAAAAATAGACCCCGCCCACTTTTCCATTTTTGGATGATAAAAATAGAATTCATGACGTTTCGTTTCACCGGTCATAGTCGCGCGTGTATATTTGCTAATTAAGTAGACTAATCGCGCTTCAATAGACTCAAAATTCACAGAGATTAAGGCTAAGACATGTGTCTATAATAGCTAGAATTTATAGAAATGTAACTCAAATCGTTCGCTTCATATGATAGTTTGTACACGTTCCTACCGGTCATAGCATATAGCGTATGCGGCGGGAGTGGGCGGGGTCTATTTTTATCCTCTGTTTAGACGCATGTCATATATTGCATCTATGTTACCAGATCGGTTGCTGAAAATATAGAGGCGATCCGGTACTGATCCAAAAATAAAAGGCCGTGGCTACGCGTCCGGTTACCGGACGCCCAGCTCCCAGGCTACGCGTCCGGTCATATATTTCTTATGTGTACCCAACTATATTTTTTCAGTAAAACACAATAAACAATACGTTTTTACCATAATATTATTTACCTTAATATATTTAATCAAAAAAAGGTTTTTGTAACTTTTGAAGCAATAGTAAATCCAGTAAAATCAACGATTTGAAAGGTGGCGTGGCCTAATCGTGACGTGGATTTGGGAATCTGTGCTGAGCTTTGTAATGGATGACCGGACGCGTAGCCACTGCAAAAATAAAAAGTGCCTACGGATTAGCAAACATGTTATCAATTCGAACTCTAGGATTTTCTGATGTTTGCGACACCCGTCGAATGCGACGTTCTGTTACGCGCTCAGCCATGCAGTAATTGTAAGCTTGCGATGTTCGCACACGTTCTGTTACGCGCTCAGCCATGCAGTAATTGTAAGCTTGCGATGTTCGCACACGTCTCTGCGGCACCTGTCCTCCTTTAGTCCTATATGCTACAGAAATACCACTCAGAGTTTCAAGATAAGAGTTCATCAGAAAACGTAGACGGGGCATGCCGTGTTTTCTGCGTGTTCCTGTTGTACCCGCCCAGCGACGCGAACGGGTAGCTAGTCCGAAAAACTAGTTCGCATGCCAGATATATGTTTATATAAGAATTTAGTGATATAAACATGTTGCATTAGTTTTGTTTGTGAGACATGTTTCATAAGTGCTCGCCAAGCTGCCTGGTGCTTCTGAGACCTCAAAGTAAAACTTGTTCTTAGCCTTAAAAATTCTAGGCATACACTGATACAGTGAGGTTGAAACATTGACCTACAACCATCAAGTGGTAACTGCTTCTCTCAATTCGCATCCATAAATTCCAGTTTAATGTTGATATAGCGTCCATGTAAAAGGTCAGGTGGTAGGATCGTCCTGTAGAGATTAATAAGGGTTGATGTACTTTTGTTTACAGTCTGGATATGGCTTCCTGTTCGTCACCTCATCAGCCTGTGCTCCCATAACAGGAGTGCTCCTGCTGCCAATCATGGCCAAAGAACTGTACAAGAGATTTGGTCTTCTTCATAAGCCTCGAGTCGGAACGTTTGTGTGCTAGTGCCATCTTCACCTTCTACCGCAGTAATCTAACAATCAAACACTTCATGCTAACCTGTGATGTTTGGTTTTACATAGTTTGTGTCTAATAAAGTACCGAAGTGTGACGTCACGTTGCAAGACAACGCACGGGGCTGTTCTACACAAGCCACTGGCCTCATAAGGTTTACTGCGTGAAATTGTTGTGCGTACGTAAAACACGAGTGTGTGCGCTGCCAGACAGCGGCTAAAGCCGGTAGCAAGTCGAATCTTACAATATTAATGAATTAAAAAAATTATTTAAAAAAAAAAATTTTGTTGTTAATTATTTTATTTTTTTTTGTTGCTTTTCACTTCCATCTTTTAGAAATCTATAAAACTGCAATAATGACTCTCAGAATGATGGTACATCGGTACAAACACGACACGCTAGTTATGTTACCACGCATATGATTGTGTAGAACCAGCAGGCTCGTTGTCATGCACCGTGACGTCATCACTTCGTACTCTATAAGGTAGGGAATGACCATGCAGACAAAAAATATGTCAATTGTCATCAGCAGAATTTAGGAAAATAAGTTTCATATTTGTAATGTAATGTGAAAAATTGTAAAAATAAATGTGAAAAATGTTTGATTAAACTTGAGCTGCGTGTCTGTAACGTGTTGACGTTTGACAGGCCTTTGAACTGGAGCTGATGGTAACCATGGACTACTGTGGAAGGCCCGCACGGGATGCTGGAATCTACATCTTCTTTCTGGTCGATAAGTGCTCAAGGTGGCCTTCTATAAGAAAGACGTGAGTTTGTTGATAGGAGGAAGAGAGGGGAGGAAGACGAACAACTGAGAATTGCTTGCTACGTCAAGTGCATAGTATTTTGCTCTCTCGATAGAATCGTAGAACAGAAGAGGCAAGGTAGCGGAATAACGATTCAGACATCTCAGGGATCATGTAGAAAACAAGAAGCTCTGATCAGAGTTGTATCACTGCCTATATGCAATTATTAGAAATAACTCGTTCTATATCTGACACTGCTGATCTGACTACGCTGCTCCATATACGTAGAAATCTGAGGAGAGCACTGTCTAAAACTGAGACGACGGACGCCGGACGGACGTGGTCATCCCTGACGTGTGTCGTTCGACGAGCGCGGGAACGGTTGCCATGCCGACGCGATCAGCAGCAACGTCCTACAGCCTTCCTCCGTCAACTTCAAGGTTGCCGCGAGCGACTCGAGCCTCAGGGAGATCTACCACGGCAACGTGGGCATGCATAGCGGGCAGCCGCAGCACAACACCGTCACCAGCATGAAGCAGGAAAAGGTGGGTCATCGCTGTTCCCTCGCGCGATGAGAGTAGTCACATGGTGCTTAGCGTTCAGGGGCCGCGTTGTCAAAATCAGAATTAATCTTAACTTTAGTCACGCGTACACACGCTGCTATTGTGAGATCGTATGGGGCATTCCTGTTACACAGTATACAACTAAATATTCGTGACTGAAGACATTTCACTACGATACGGCGACATTCGCGCCGCACTGTAACGCGTCTGTCCCGTGTTTCCGTGACAGCTGGAGCGAGCCGTCCCACACGATGCGTTGGAGCGCACGGGACACGACCACAGCCACGTTGCGAAGGGAGACAGCGCTATCGCGACGGTGGCATGGATGATCATATTCGGCGATGGCTTGCATAACTTCGTCGACGGTCTGTCGATCGGTGCCGCGTTCCAGACGTCAACACTGACGGGCATCAGCGTCTCAGTTGCTGTCTTTTGCGAAGAGTGTCCGCATGAGCTCGGTATGTGTGTGCGTGCGTGCGTGCATATATGTGCGTGTGTATATGCGTGCGTGCTTGCATATATGTGCGTGTATGCCTGCGTGCGTGCGTATATGTGCGTGTGTGCGTGCGCATATGCGTGAGTGCTTGCATATATGTGCGTGTATGCCTGCGTGTGTGCATATATGTGCATGTGTGCGTGCGTATATGCGTGCGTGCTTGCATATATATGCGTGTATGCGTGCCTGGGTGCATATATGTGCGTGGGTGCGTGCGTATATGCGTGAGTGCTTGCATAGTATGGCGTGTATGCGTACGTGCGTGCATATATGTCGTGTATGCGTGCGTGCGTGCATATTGTGCGTGTGTGCGTGCGTATATGCGTGCGTGCTTGCATTATGTGCGTGTATGGTGCGTGCGTGCATATATGTGGTGTGTGCCCTGCGTATATGCGTGAGTGCTTGCATATATGTGCGTGTATGCGTGCGTGCGTGCATATATGTGCGTGTATGCGTGCGTGCGTGCATATATGTGCGTGTGTGCGTGCGTATATGCGTGCGTGCTTGCATATATGTGAGTGTATGCGTGCGTGCGTGCATATATGTGCGTGTATGCGTGCGTGCGTGCATATATGTGCGTGTGTGATTGCGTGTATGCGTGCGTGCGTGCATATATGTGCGTGCGTGCTTGCGTGGGTATCAATGGGTTCATGCAGTTCAACATATATATATATATATATCAGGAGTTAATAAAGACAAAGTTTAAGTAATGAAGACAAAGACGTGTAAGTGACAAGACGATAAAGACAAAGACGTGTAAGTGACAATATAAAGATAAAGATTTGTCTTTATTAACTCCTGATATATATATATATATATATATGTAAAGTGTACATCCACATCTATATGATATTCAGAGGAAAACAACTGTCCTTTATAGGCAGGTGTTCCTTTATAGACAGTGTGCTTTATAGACAGGTGTCTTTATGACAGCAGTGTTCCTTTATAGACAGGTGTCCTTTATAGACAGGTGTTCTTTTCATAGAGGTGATTGCTTACACAGGATTGACCGTACGCTGGCTTACTAAACGACGTCACTAACATATGCGCGAACATTGTGGGCGTGGCTACCTATTAACGAGTGAATCACCCACACTGCACATCGAACGATTTCGAGCTGTCGTCTATGTGTTTCAGGAGACTTTGCGATTCTCCTAAACTCCGGCATGACCCTGAAGCAGGCAATAATCAGTAACGTTCTGTCCGCGAGTACCTGCTACTTGGGGCTTGTCGTCGGTATTGTGGTCGGCGATATTCCGGGAGTCACTGTCTACATATTTGGCTTCGCTGGCGGAATGTTTCTCTACATCTCTCTAGCTGCGATGGTGAGTACAGTAGACACCCGCATAAAAGAACCCGTGATTTTCTGTTTCAGGCTGAAGTGGTTCTTATATATATGTACGTACATAGTAAGAAATCAGCCTGAAAAGGGTTCTTAAAGAGGCTCTTAATTTGGGGGGGGGAATATTGTGTACATTATCGTACTATACAATATTGTATAGTTTCAGAAAATATTCACAACATCTCCCCTTCAATCATCTCGTATGTCGAATTAAGCCCCAACATTTACTGGAAAATAAGGCAAAATACCCCCTGGAAAATCCAATCCTCCTGTGAGGAGCGCCACTCCGTGTTATTGTGTATCTCGCGTTGTTCTCGCGCGACCTGGCGAGAACCTTTGTTGTCATTCGCGTGACCGTCCATGTTTGATTCGCTGTACATGTTTGATGTCAATACAGTTTGTTGGACTCATACTCAGCTGTTTGTGGTGGTATTAATCTAGTTAACGTGGTCGCAGCGCTGATCCACGCCTAGAGGAAAGACTGAACCATATAGGCAAGGTATATAACTGTGTGAACGCATCGTTTCATTAACGTGTACATGCACCCGTTGTAGAGACTCGAACGTGTATTAATATCGACGGTGTCCCGTTTCGTGCATCGTGTACGGACAGTAACATCGTAGTCAAGGAAAGTGTTCCTGTACTGTTTATGAACTATGGCTTCCTTCAGGGCTCCCAAACAGTGGCCCCTTACCACGGACGAAAAAATAAACACTGTCGAAGTCTGGAAACAGAACTTAATCTACGTTTTGTCACTGGATGCCAACTTTGCTCCCTTCTTACGCACTGACGCTACTTGGGAGAAGAAAACAGCTGCCAACCCTAACCGCGGGTTTATCGACGACGATGGGGACGTTGGCGAAGTTGTACGTTGCACCGCAGCACAGAAGTGCACCATGCTTGAGTTTATGCTAGGGCAGATTGCCAACTTCTGTCCGGTTATTGCTAGGAACTTCCTTGTCAAGCAGTCAACATCACTCGAGGACATTTGGCAGAAAATCCGCCAACATTATGGTTTCCAGAGCACAGGCGCCCATTTTTTAGACCTCGCGTCTATCAAGCTGGAACACAATGAACGTCATGAGGACTTATACCAAATACTTATGTTCTTTTTTGAAGACAACTTGTTGACTAAGAATTGTGGAATTTTGCATAATGGAGCACCTGTTGACACAGACGAGGACTTGTCTCCCTCACTTGAGAACACTATCACGCTCGTATGGCTACAACTTATCCCCAAGGGGCTACCACTACTGGTGAAGCAGCGATACGGACCGGAGCTACGCAACAAAACCGTGGCCTCCTTAAAGCCTGAAATTTCACAGGCCCTGCCATCACTTCTCGACGAGTTACGAACCATTAAAGACTCACGGGTCTCGCGTGCAAATGCCACATTCCCACCTCGCCGCCCTATGTCCACCCGACGCAAGGCAGACAAAGAGTGTTCTATTTGCAAAGCCGCGGGCCGCCCCGGAGCATCCTCTCATTTCCTGAGCGAGTGTCGTCTCCTTACAGAGTCAGACAGGCGTTTTCTGCGTTCCAGTAGGACCCGCATGGTCGGGAAAGGAGATATTTCAGACATCGATCCAGAGGATGACAATCCTGAGTTTCTCGAGGACAGTGCCTTTCTCGATTCTGCTGCCAACTCTTCAGTCAGGAGATTGGACGTTGTTCAATCTCCTGTTCTGAACTGCTTTTACAACCAACATCCTGTCAAGTTAACATTGGACACCGGTGCCACTACCAATCTCGTTACTCTCGACTTTGCCAAGTCAGTTAGTCTCCCAGTCAACCCTACCTCCCAATCTGCCTACCAAGCTGATGGTGTAACCCCCCTAGACCTGGTAGGATAGGTTCACTGACACGTAACGAGACAGTTTTGTGGCTTGACGCCCTTGTCGTGCGCGAACTTGACACTCTTGTTCTGGTCGGAAACCCATTCCACCCTTTCTAATGACATTGGTACTAGACCGAAGAAAAAGCAGATCATTATTGGTGGATCGGATGTCGTCTACTATGGAACACAGTCGACCAATAAGGCGTCAGTCCGACGCACACAAGCTATGGTCTTGCGCACCCCGGCTAGGTCCACTATCTTACTGCCAGGGGACCATATCGATCATTGTACCCCTCCAGATACAGATCCCGACATAGAATGGGCCCTGGAACCAAGACTCGATAGCCCGTCAAACCAGTCCAAGTGTGATTCGCCATGGCCCGATCCCCAGGTCGTACTGTCTGTCAACCACACAAGTCGACTATGTAATGGCACTGATGAACCTATTAAACTCAAGCGTAACGAGCACGTGTGCCAGATCCGGGCGGTGGTTCCTGTTCACGACAACCCCAGTCCCGGTGCCTTTCACCCTTCTAACCCCTCTAGCAATGCATCTCCACGGGGCAATGGCTATTGCTCGTCCATTCAAATAGATCCCGAGAACACCTTACCTCCGGATATACGTCAGAAGTTCAGGGATCTACATGCCTCATTTGATACTGTGTTTTTTCCCGATGTCCCCAAATACAACGGTGCTAGTGGTCCCATCGAGGCTACTGTCAACATGGGTCCCACCCTCCCACCTCAGAGGAAGGGCCGACTCCCTAGCTACAACCGAGATTCCCTTGTTGATCTTCAGAACAAGTTCGATGACTTGGAACGGCAAGGTGTTTTTTGCCAAACCTGAGGACACCAACGTCTCTGTCGAATACCTGAACCTGTCGTTTCTGGTGAAAAAGCCAAACGGTGGCACTAGGTTAGTTACTTCATTTGGTGAAGTAGGCTAAACCTCAGCCTGCCCTCATGCCCAACGTCGATCAGGTTTTACACAATATCGTCGGCTGGAAGTACATCATCCACACAGACCTACGTCAATCATTCTACCAAATCTCCCTGTCTCATGCCTCCATAAAGTTTTGTGGTGTCTCAACTCCTTTCAAGGGAGTTCGGGTGTACGCCCGGTCAGCCATGGGTATGCCCGGGTCTGAAACAGCTCTTTAAGAATTGATAGTCGCGTCCTTGGTGAGTACGTCATGGAAGGATGGTGTTCCAAACTCGCCGACGATCTGTATATTGGCGGTGACACCCCGGAAGAGCTGTTCAACCACTGGTCAGTATGCCTCTCGACCATCCACAAAAACAGCTTTGGCCTCAACTCTTCCAAAACGGTCGTAGCCCCTGTGTGTCCTACCATTCTGGGATGGGTGTGGAAGAACAGAACCCTGAGTGCTAGCCCCCACAGGGTTTCTGCCCTGACCACTGTTGACCCGCCTGTCACCGTCCAGTCATTACGATCGTTTATTGGTGCCTACAAAGTCTTGAGCAGAGTGTTGAAGGGATACGCAATGCTCCTGGATCCCCTAGAAAAGCTTACCGCCGGAAAACAATCCCGTGACATGGTTGCGTGGTCTGACCCTTCCTTCAACGCATTCCGCACGGCCCAACAGTTGTTGGATCAGTGTCAGACCATCACAATTCCCGTTCCGTCAGACAGGCTTTGGATTGTGACCGACGCCTCTGTCGCTAAAGGTGGAGTTGCCGCTACCCTGTACGTCTGCCTTCTAGGGAGGGTACTTCTCGCTGGATTCTTCAACGCTAAACTTAAAGACTTTCAGCGCAGGTGGCTACCATGTGAAGTTGAAGGCTTATGCATAGCCTCTGCTGTTCAGCATTTTGCCCCCTACATAGCCCATTCTTCCCATCGGGCACAGATACTCACCAATAGTAAACCATGTGCGCAGGCATACCGGAAACTGTTGAGGGGGGAGTTCTCAGCTAGTGCCCGTATTACCTCCTTTTTGTCTTCCGTAAGCAGGTACACCATTGAAGTTCGCCACATTGCTGGCGTTGCCAACCTTCCTTTCGACTAAACCAGCAGGAATCCCCTTGAATGCCCGAACCAAATCTGCCAAATTTGCCACTTTGTAGAGGACTTGCAACACTCGGTAATCAGACACACATCAGTCCAGGATGTCATGTCTGGATCCACCCGCATGCCATTTTCCAACCGAGTGGCATGGCAAGCCACCCAACAAGAGTGCTTTGACTTGCGACGCGTACATGCCCACCTATCCCAGGGCACCAGACCAGGGAGGAAGGCTGTTAAGGTCCACGACGTTCGCAGGTATCTTCACGACGTGGTGATTTCGAATGATGGACTGTTAGTCGTTAACGACAACCAGCCCTTCCAGCCTTCCCGAGAACGCATTGTGGTCCCAAGATCATTTACGCGCTCAGCCATGCAGTAATTGTAAGCTTGCGATGTTCGCACACGTTCTGTTACGCGCTCAGCCATGCAGTAATTGTAAGCTTGCGATGTTACCAGTCGCACGTCCCTGCCGGCAACCTGTCCTCACATTAGTCATTAATGCTACAGAAATAACACTCAAAGCTTTCAAGATAAAGAGTTCATCAGTAAACGTAGACGGGTGCAGCGTGTTTTCTGCGTGTTCCTGTGTGTACCCGCCCAGCGACGCGACGGGTAGCTAGCCGAAAAACTAGTTCGCATGCAGATATATGTTTATATAAAATATTAGTGCATATAAACCATGTTGCCCTTAGTTTAGTTTGTAGGACATGTTTGCATAGTGCTCCGCCAAGCTGCCCTGGTGCTTCTGAGAACACTCAAAGTAAAACTTGTCTTGCCTTTAAAAAGTTCTAGCATACACTGATACAGTGAGTTGAACATTGATACTACAACACTACAAGTGGTACATGCATTCTCCAATTCGCATCCATAATCGTTTAATGTCTGATATAGGTCCATGTAAAAGTCAGGTGGTAGGATCGTCCTTAAGAGATCTTAATGAAGGGTTGATGTACTTTTGTTTACAGTCTGGGGATATGGCCTCCTGTTCGTCACCCTCATCAGCCTGTGCTCCATAACAGGAGTGCTCCTGCTGCCAATCATGGCCAAAGAACTGTACAAGAAGATTCTGGTCTTCTTCATAAGCCTCGGAGTCGGAACGTTGTGTGCTAGTGCCATC